CAGTTTACATACATTGGGGAATTGTAAGGTCAGGGAACCAGTCTAGCTGGCTCGTACCCGTTCATAGGTTTGTAATCGATTGCAAACAAGTGCGATGGTCAATTGGGGCCAGTATTTGAAAAAAGGCCAGTTTTTTCCAACGCTGATCGGCCGATCGGACTCTTGAAAATGGCAAGACGAGAATTAAAAATAAGATTAAATAGGACACAAAGGTGCATTTTGAAGGATTGCATTAAAAAAATTATGTTGCATGAGCCCTTTAAAGGGAATATACAACATTTGCAAACATCGAAAAATAAAACTACCAAGTTTTTACGAAATACCTTACTAGGATGTTGGTAAGTGACAGTCTAAAAATCCTGTTAAATTATTACAACTGGTATCAAGTCATTTTCAAGAAAATGGTATTTTTGTATACATTTCCAACGGTGGTCGGCCGACCACCGTCGGAAAAACCTAACTATTTTTCAACTACTGCTCCAAATTTACATTTTTTTCAGTCCAAATTTTGTTTGCTATTGGTTCCATGTTCATGAACGGGTGCAGGCCAGCTAGACTGGTTCCCTTACCTTACAATTTTCCGACAACTATAAATTGATCCATTTTATCTTTAGTGGAGTCACCGGAACCAGACTACTTAAACATTTCTGTTTTTCTTGGTTTTCCAAGCATCTTCAAACACAAAACTTCAAACATGTCAGTTAACAATAGGGCCTATTTGATCTATTATACTAATCCCTCAAATAGTTCATTTCTGAAAATTACAGCAAAAGCCAATGATGTACATCCCCTTTAAAAGGTGGAGTATACACTGTGGTTTCACGAACTGTCAAGAATGCAGGGTACATGTACCCTGTTTCCCAATGGACAATGGACTCCATAGAACATCCATGTAAAACTCCCTTTAATCCAAAGGTAAAATGATTGTGAAATGTACATGTATCAATTCCCCACTGAACTGCCTTATGATTGTTAACACTGCAGTATCCGTTTACCGTTTACAGCACCATTGCTGATCCGGGACACCCATGTACTAGGATGCAATAAAGTGTCAAAGTGCCGGATATCACCACCTGATTGCAGAAACAATATTATATTTCCGTCTGGCCATGTTGTTTACTACTCGTAGCTCCCTCGTTTGAGGGGGGGGGGGGGGGGAGGGGGGGGGGATGGGGGGGGGGGGGGGGGGGGGTAGCGAGTGACTGTACCATCCTCTGGCTGTATGTACATTCATGTGTATGATGCACAGCCAAGTGGCTCAACATCATATTATGAGTCACTGACTGACTGGTGGCTGGGCTCTTGTTTGTCGCAAACCTGGCTGCAATTATTATAATCATGCCGGAGCTAACCAAAAAATAAGAAAGGTGCATTCATGTTGATGGTGTTTTAATCGGAAGGAAAAACATGATTTTGGTGTGCATGTACATGTATCTCATTCTCATCCTTTTTCTGCGTACATGCCGTGAACAAGCACATTTGCGTGTGTACGATACGATACGATAACCACAACCTTTTCACAGAAATGAGGATGTGCAGGATACTTTACATTTTAACGTACATTACCACAGAGTGATTTTTCCTCCACATAATCAGAGGTTGTGTAAGGTATGTTAAAGTAACAAACTGCATGTACACGTACTGTACAATATTTTTTTGAATTTTAATACATGTATGTGTACATGTATGTATGCAGTTTTAAAAAATATGAAAAGGAATAAATGAACTGCAAATTTTACAAATATTTGTGTTGCAATGAATGACTGATGCATGTTTAAAATTTAATTCATGTGTGTGCACGTTAACCAGCTGCTCACAGAATGCAAAACAGGCTGCTACAGTTTTTGTTTGTGTGTACTTGTTGGGGAGTGTTCATTAGTTGATCGCATTGCCCGCAAAGCGCAGGCAACAAGTGGTGCAGCCATCTCTCAGCACGAAATCGCCCGCAATGCGGGCAACAAGTGGCACAGCCGGCCGCCTCTCTTTGCGCGCAAGGCACATGATTGCCCAGGAAGCACGTAACATACATGTTATGAGGATGTTCATCAAGGACATGTTGTTGTATACAAGGAATGCAGCTATCTACATATTTTGTTTATAGATAAGGAACCACTGAGTATGCATGTATTTCTCATAAATTTGATGAAAGCTGAGACATCCATTCAAATAAACCCTGACGAATGGCACCTGAGGTAAAGGCCATTGTTGCATTGCCTCTTTATTTGAAGGGTTATAGGAAGTGCCTCTCATCAAATCTGTCAACACTTGTTTTGCAGTTGTGATGTACATGTACAATTTAATGTACCGGAACAGAAGACAAAGATACATTGTAACTCTCAGTTAAAGGCAGGATCATTTGCCTTTCATGCATTTGGTTCGTTCCCAAAAATAACACCACTCAAAACCAACGAAGAATGTTCAAAACGAAACCTGTTGAAATTTCAACTCAGCGGATATTAAACTTTTTGAGAAAACAGTGGGAAAAAAAAACTCGTCTGAGCCGCACTATGAATGTCTGTATAAATATCCATGCATATAAAATTTATGCAACCGGGCACGCCAGCCAATCAGAGCCGTCTTTAGAAGCTGTGACGCCATTTAGAGCAGAAATTCGGCCAAAGCTGTTGATTGGACAATTGGCTGCCGTGTTTTTGTCATGCAACAATTGGTTACCGAAGACCCGATAGAAGGCGCCCACTGAATGGTCAGAATGTGGAGGTCAAGACGCAGTGTTGTTTTGAATAATCTGCACGCATATCAGAGACTATGAAAAACCATGCCCAACATTCTAATTGCTAAACATAATTTCATCCATAGCACTCGTTCTCTCCAAAAAAATCAGTAAAGCGACTGAGCGTTGGAAGTCACCGACATTTCTAGATTTCTTCTAAATGACAGCAAGCCAGATGGAATAATTTCACGGGGGTGTTCAACCCAAGTTAGCTTTTTGATAATAATTTGGTAGGTTACTTTTGGGATAAATGCAAATGATCCTATGCCTTTGAACAAGTAAAAAGGCTGAATGGATGTCCAGCAAATACGAGTAGTCTGCACACTGTTGCAAAAAGACGTTCTCCACAGGTTTAGCTGTATACATGTAACACAAGTCTTACATGTGGTGTCCTATTTGGAACACACAATGAAGGTCAAGTGTATATTACACATGTGCTTCTAATGTAGACAATTCTGTACTGCTAATGGTGTGTTTGTCGAAGTGCTTTTATACGGACGTCACAACATTTCTATAGTTTATAGATCGTTTGCACTGCAGCAATCTTGGGTGGCATGGGTGGCTTGTGCGTAAAGCGCTCGCCTCTCACCAAGGTGACCACGGTTGGAATCCTGGCCATGGATCCTGGCCTGGCCGCGGATCCTGGCCTGGCCGCAGATCACACGTGAGTAGAGTTGTGCGTTGGTTCTCTCCTGTGCCACGAGGGTTTTTCTCCGGGCCCTCCGGTTTTCCTCCCTCCGGAAAAATCAAACACTTTCGATCTCAGGCTGTGCTCCGTGGTCATATATGGGTCGACGTGGCCGGCAGCCATAGGCGCCTTTACGTGCCAGCGGCCCGACCACATTGTAGCCACGTACTTCGCAATTCAGCATCCCAGCTGCCAGTAAGGATGACTAGCCTTTCAAATTATTATTATGTATCTTTGAGGTGTGTACTTTTGTTTAAAAGGAATACCCACATGTGTAGACCTCTTGTGTGTTAATTGATAATGAATTAACATAGCAAATCACACCTCAAGGATGGCTGCTGAATGCATTCAATCTATACAGGGCGAGTCAAAAAAATGAAACCCAAATGTTGGGACCATTGTTTTAGTGAAGTTCTGCATGCAGCACTTTCAAACTCTAGGATATGAAAGCCCAATTCATAAGCTTTATTTTAGTACAACAGTCATTCAAATCACTCATGTACTTTTCAAGTTACGGAAATTTAAACACAACCACCGTTTTAAAGCTCTGTCCACGGATAACAAAAAGGTGTGTGTTCTTTCAGCAAAACGAAAACAATTCACAAACATCCTAATGTGATTCGTTTTCGATTTGCTGAAAGAACACTGCACTTTTCTGTGACCCGTGGACAGAACCTTAGAACGGTGGGTGTGTTTAAAACTCCGTAACTTGAAAAGTACATAAGTGATTTGCATGATTCTTGTACTAAAAGAAAGCTTATGAATTGGGCTTTCATATCCTAGATTTTGAAAGTGCTACATGCAGAACTTCACTAAAACAATGGTCCCGACAGTTGGGTTTCAGGTTTTTTTTTATTCACCCTGTAAACAGTACCTAAGAAAAGATACAGAACATCAATTTCTTCCTTGCATTTATCCTCACCCTTTCCAGATCTTTCAGAATCTTCACATGGGCTTGGTGGATTCGAAGGATTACGGAAAATGGAACCCTCAATTGCACGTACTTTACATTGGGTTGAGTACCCCTTGGAAGAGTACATTACAATGGATCTCTCTCATAGGTTGCCTTCTTCATAGGAAAATAGCAACTGCGTGTTCAACGCTATCAGGTGAATGTGCACATAGTGTGCAAAATGTTCTAAACATGCGTGAATGTTGCTCAAAATTTCTTCCGCTGCGCGTCACGAAAATTTGACGCCCAGAATGCCGATGCACATGGCAATATGTAGGAAGTGACGTTGTATAATTTGAAGGTTTTGTTGGACTAATCGAGATAGACAACTGTACGATTGTGGTGCAATGCAAGCATGCTTTATTTGACCTCTCCAGTGACCTTATCTATGGAGCGCCTAGTACCACAGAATAACACAAGTGATCTTGATATAATGGAATGACTTTGATACAAAATGAATGGCGATGAATACTACAGACGTCAATTGAGAGAGACCTATTGTGTTAGTGGTTTCTCGCAAAGAAGAGGATTTGAGAGGATTCAATGAGGTTTGAGCACACATTGCAGACATTGGAGAGAATGTGTTTGCGAATGCAATGCTATCCCCATAATCGTACACTAACACTCACCTGTCCGTAGCGGAGTCTACTTGAAACGTCCGATCCACGATGGTGGTCCATTGCAGGCATCGTACATAAAATATATTCTTGTCTTTCTTTTCTGAGGCTAGCACTTGGCATTCACAGTCTGTGGCAGAACATCAGAAATAATAAGTGTTAGGAGATTATTTTTTTTAGAAACAATAAAAATCTACAGGTTTGGCTTCTGGTTTTTTGTGTGACAGATGCAGGGTGATCGGAAACGACACAATTTTGTTGTATGTTGCTTCATAATGAGGCAACGATTTCAGTAAATAAGTCAGTGAGAGAAGCGAAATTCGAAACTGACGAAACTCTGATTAACTTTTCATTTTATGCCTTTATCATGTGATCAAAGGCAGTAAATGTTTTTTTGTGAAAGTAAGAATTACATGAATGTTTATTTGCATGCATTGATTGACATTTAATTACTCTGCAGTTTGATGACGTCACAGCATTATGTATAAATCAAGTAATTTTGATATCATTATTTGCGCTACAATTGTTGCTATTATTTGGTACTAAGGTCAAACGGTTTTGTGCCCGGGAACAAAAACGTTGCCCAAGGCAGTATCTATGTATATTATCACATCACAAAAAAATGACATGGTAGTCAATTCAGTTCAAAAGTTACATTTTAAAATTTTTGGTCAACTTTTGGCCTTAAATCGCATGGTACATGTACTTTGATATCGGATGACGTCACATTGAAGTCACAAACGATTTCACATCTTCAGACATAAGTACATATTCGTACAAGGTTTCATCTTCATCCCTTGAACCATTTGGCAGACATTTTTGTAACTACATTGTCAGATTGCTTGTAATTTGATACCTGAGAACATCATCATGACTTCACAATATATAATGCACACCTCAGGATCATGGTCGATGTTTGTTCAAAGTTTGAAGTTCAACCTGTGTACGGCTTAGAAGAAAAGTTGCAGAGAACTACCGGTATCGAGTATTAAGTAAAAACACATAAAAACCACCAACAAAGATCAGGATGATCCCTGATGATCCGTGATGATCTGGAGTCCTCAGTGGTCTAGTTTATGTATGCATTCATGTCTAGCCTCGAGAAAATGTGAGAATGATATCAAATCAAAGGAAACAATATTTAAGAAATCATACACAAATCATACAGAATTTCTAAAGCAGAATCATACAGAAACAAAGGGTGATCGGAGATCATCCCGGTCACCCAAAAAGAAAGTTACATGTAACCTGTGACAACCATGCATGCAAATTGCATCTCCTAGCAACTTCGAAAAACATTCAAGCCTCTAGTTCCTCATTTTTCAGCTGTTGTTGACAACTGTTTCAGGAACATGTACATTGTACATGTCAGATATTATGACCATAACACAGAAATTGGCACATGACCAAGTGTTCTCGACAACTCACGTTTTGGTAAATTGGAGTCGATGTATGCACAGGCCTATCTGTGTATAATGTCCCCCTATCAATGTGTTGACTGCTCACGCTATATGTTTCCTTTGATTTGATATCATTTTCACATTTTCTTGAGGCTAGACATGAAAACATGTAACTAGACCACAGAGGACTCCAGTGTTATTGCTACTGCATAATACTGAGCAACAACAGGTCTAGCCATCATTTTTTGCAACAAATATTCTCCCAGAAAAATTGATGACAGGTTTACCGAGGCATAGGGCGTTTGTTTATGGTGAAAACAGAAGTGAGCATCTTGATCACCAGACTCTACACAAAATTCAACTACGACAAGAGAAATCTCGGTAAGCATAACAGTCAGATTACGGTTCATTAAAAACTGAGAAGACGACACACCTTGCGTGCCTTGTGTACATGCGTACAGTGCATACATGTACATGTACATGTTCAGAAACTGAATTATGATAAACTCACAACAAACTAGAGATGCACATGTGTTCGTGTACGAACACAAGCTGCTTCCTGTGTTTTGGAAGGGCTCCGTGACATGTGAAGACGAAGTTATGTCCATATCGTATAGCACATAACACTATAGACCGCTTGCAGACGCGATCGATAATTGACGCGCAAAGGTGTGCGATGCCATGTTTTGGGACAAAATGTGCATGGATAGATATACGCTTGTCCCACAAGATGGCGTCGCGCGCCTTCCCGCGTCGATTATCGAACGCATCTGCAAGCGGTCTATAACAAGAAACTACAACTAAATCAGACCTTGTGTAAGGTACACATGTGTAAGGTACACATGTGTAAGGTACACATGTGTAAGGTACACATGTGTAAGGTACACATGTGTAAGGTACACATGTGTAGGTACACATGTACATGTACGTACAAAATTATAAAACGTACATTCGCATTGAATAAAAAGGATGCAGGGCCACTTTGTTCTCATACTGCTACATCTGTACATTGTTAAAATGGACAGAAATTATTACCAATCCCCTGAGTTTGTTTAGGACAAATAATTTTTTTCGCAGAACATATTTTCAGATTCAGAAAAACAAGACGATTACCTCTTGGAACAGTCTAAACTGTTGTCTCCACACATTCAAATACACACATATGAGTGTCGATTAATGCCTCATCCAAATATGAAAGCTTTTTACCTAAAAAATATTGTACTACATGTAGTATGTATAAAAACATGTGAGTTAGAAACAATGAAGCGTTTTCCTTGGGACGCAAACAAGCTCACTATATACATAGTGGATGTTGTTGACAAGAGCAGGCTTGGACTATCACTTTCATATTCAGTGCCGCATGGTGTGAGAGCCCTCATCAATTTTCCACGGTCCCCGGCATAAAACCAACAGCACCATAAATAAAGCAACCGGTGCCCTCTTAAATCTTCCGGAATCATTCGGGAAACATGGCAGCTATGCTGAGAAAAACAAACCGAAAGCAAGGGGTTGGGGTGTTGTGTGTGTGTGTGTGATGTGTTTGTTACCAAATCATGATAGTGCAACCACACTCAGAGAAATAAACAAGTAACTAATATAGTGTACGTATATACACAAAACTGAATTCCCTGTAACTGAATTTTCTGTGAAATGAACTTTTTGTTTCCTTTTTGAAGTTCAACAACAAAATCTACATGAAAAAGGAATCTGAAAAGCAGAGGTATTGTCGTATAAAGATACGTTTCTTTTAACCCTAACTCCCTAGGCATTTTTGCTAGGATGCAATCTCAATCCTGCAAAATCCTCCAACTGCCTCCGTGTAAAAATTGCATACAGCCTCAATCCTGCAAAATCCTCCATTATTTCTTGAATGTGGTCCCTGGAGGGGTGACCACTGCCTCAATCCTCCACAATCCTCCATCAATATCTGTCAATATTTTGAGACAGAGCCAGAGACATCCTGGAGCAGTGCGGAGGATTTCAAGTATAATGTAGGCCTAAATTTATGCACGGCTGAGCATAAACAACACAAGGTCTGGCCCAAGACCTTGAAACAGTGCATCCTGCAAAATCAGCCACACGTTTTGGTAAAATATAACATGCATGTAAAAAGGTTGCAAGGCATTTTTAAAACTAATAAAAGAGTGGGCAAAAAGTTGTTTCATTGTATGTGTTTTATACCTTGCAGTTTGAGTTGCTCTTATCAGGGGTGATATTACATGTAAGTGATTTTTTTTTCTTCTTAAAGGGAAAATACAACATTTGCAAACATCAAAAAATAAAACTACCAAATCATTTTGAAATACCTTGCTGGACTGTTAGTGAATGACAGTGTAAAGCATCCTGTAAAATCATGGCACCTGGTATACTGTCATTTTCAAGAAAAGTGGTATTTTTGTATCAATTTCCAACGCTGATCGGCCGATCAGCGTTGGAAACAACTGGCTTTTTTTCAAATACTGGCCCCAGTTGACCATCGCACTTGTTTGCAATCGATTACAAACCTATGAACGGGTACGAGCCAGCTAGACTGGTTCCCTGACCTTACAATTCCCCAATGTATGTAAACTGCTCTGTTTCTTCTTATATGGGGTCAGGGAACCAGACTACAGGAAAATGATCGTTTTTCTTGGTTTTTATAGCATTTTCGAACCCAAAACCTCAAAAAAGTCAGTGTAACTATATTTGCTATATATTTCCAACCCCCCAATTCCATCCATTTCTGAAAATTACAGCAAAAGCAAATGATGTATATTCCCTTTAAATCCACAAATTTTACAAAATAATCAGCAGAGGGTTTTAAGTTCACCAAGGACCCCAGAGCAGCATACACCCATAGGGTATGTGATATTCCCACGGCAGTGTGAAACATGCCGTGGGCTTGAGCTGCTTATGTTGGTTGGTTGGTTGGTTGGCATGGTTGGTGGACACTTTACTCGGCCATACAATGTATATTGTATTCTTACAACTCAAGTGTTACAGCTTTGCAAGTACATGTATTACAGCTTTGCATTTGAAGACCAGTTTTGCAAACACTGTTGCACATGCGTCTAATTTGCATACTTTTTGCATATTAGATCACGCCCCATTTCGTTTCATTTTCTGTACTCTCGAGGTACTGGTACGGCCCGGGTGGCGGGTGCACGGGCGGTGCCGTATAGCCATCTCCACACGTTACCCAGCCTCGCTGCTACCCGGTCGCCGTGGGTTGTACCACTTGGTACTTGTTTTTGCCTGTTAAAGGCAAACCTTAAAATACCGATTTCTTTTGATGTATATCTAAAACACCTTTACTGTAAAACCCAAAGAATTCCTGATTTCAAAAGGGATTCTTTAAAAATCGTGAAATCCTGATATCATGACAAAATCGTGACAAATCTCATCCCTGTCTTGCACTTTATGTACTTATTTCCATGTTTATGTATAAATCCCAGTAAGAAATTTCTCCTGCCATTGACTTATTAATTTATACTTTCCAACCTCTTCAGGGCTTTCCACAACACTTGGGAGAGACATCTCAGGGATTGCTAGCGGCAAGGCAGCGTCCAGGGCAAACCAGAGCCATACTTGAAATGTTCAACATCCACTGAAGCAAGGTTGGGTTTGCAAACCTGGGGCTAAACACTGTCAACATGTGCATGTACGTACCACCTTGGGCCACTGCTCCTTCCCAACTTTATACAAATACTGAAGAAATAAGCAATCAGGAGATTTTGGTTGTGGCATCTTT